CTCCTGGCTCCTGGGGGGGTTTCCTCAGCCTCCTCGCCCGGCTCACACCGCGGGCTTTCTTCCTGCTGGGTGATCTTCCTCCTGACGGGAGGAGGCGAAGGTCTGGAGAGGGTGACGAGCCACCGAGGCGTCTCGCTCGTTTCCTCGCCCAGAGGCTTGGCCGCGGGTGGGACAGCCACGCTTCCCCGCTGCCGTCACCTCGCCGCTCAGCGTGGCCGGTGCTGACCGGGAGAGAGCTGGCGGCCGAGGGGACGCAGCTGCGAGGTTCTGGCCGCTGTTCCGTAGGGGCCTGCGGACTCGCTGTCCCGCCGAGCCCCCGGTCCCTGGCAGGTGCAAGGAGGAGGCTGGGGCTGGGGCTGTGGGTCTGCTCGGCTCTGCGGTGTCCTCGGAGCTGAGCGGATTCCCTCTGTGGTGGGAAGCAAGCCTCTCCAGTGGGACTGCAGAGCAGGCTGCAATGCCTGACCAACGCGGAGTGTCTGTGTGTGTTGTGTGCACGGGGGGGGTCTTGCTGTTCAGAGCTGGGGACGTCTCTGCCCAGAATACGTGACGTTTGAGCTGCACGGTTAGAGCAAGGCACTACCAGGAGGCTGGAACGGGTCTCTTCCAGTGGAGAGCCAGCTCTTTCCTTTATTTGTGTAAGCACAGTTAGAGCTGGCTGGGTGGGCAGATTCCACGGGGGAAGAATTGCTGTCAAAGTGCCCTGGGTTGGATGTGAGCTCACCAGGGACTCCCGAGGGGAGAGGGGGGGGCACAGGAGAGGAACTGTCCTGACTTCATATGTAACTGGGGGAGTCATCTGATTTGTTTGGATTCCTGGGAGGGCTGTGTGAGCTAATTCGCAAGAAAGCAAATAAACAGAGTGTGAAATCCACACCGGGAGAGAGAGTTCTCATGCGGTGTGCCCGACCGCTGCCAGCAAACCACGCTCCTCCACCCGCACGGTGCTGCGGAGCCTGTTGTGGAGCACAGCCCTTCCTCTGCCTCCCTGTCCCTACAGATGGGTCTCCCTCCCTCCCTCCCTCTCTCTCTCCCTCCCTTCCTTCGGGCGCCGTCTCCGGGCCAGCCTGCGCTGGAACGGGTGACGTCACCGTGTTTACACGGGGCTCGTGGCATGGTTCTGTGATCAGGAATGTGGAGAATGGGGCCTGCGTTGAATCATGCGTGGTGCTGTCAGCTCCCTTGTGCTGCCTTTGAGCTGAGGAGAGAATTGGCTGCGCTTGTGCTGAGTTCAGGCCTTTTGAGCTCTGGGGAAATGTGTTGAGGCTGCATTTTCTTCGTTGCAGTCATTGCATTTGGCACTTTTCAGTGTGATCTTTCTTCAGGGAGCTATCAAAAGCTGAGCAATCAGCAGTCTGGAGAGTTAGGCCAAGTTTGGTCTCTGTCTTGGTGCCAGTTCTCTGGGTGTCCTCTCTGCGAGCTGCCAAATAGCCCTGTCTCTGATCCTTCAAACGGGACCCAAAAAATAGCCAACAACTAGTCTCCGGGTTGTTCTTCCCATTCTACTGACTGACTTGTGTGTTGCTGCGTCTCATTTTGACCCCCTTGGGAAGGGGGACTTTGCAGGGTCCGGACTGTGTGAGCACCCCTGCTGATTTCCCCAGTCTGCCCCAAGGAGCTCTCTTCCCGATGCCCTGCCTGATGCAGCACGTTTGTTGCCTTGTTTGTTTTATTTCAGCTCTGCTGTGATGAAGGAAGCTCGGGTGCTTGCCAGGCAGCTGGAAATTCTTTAGCACCACAAGGCAGACGAATTTCAGTGGTCCCACTGACCGTACCTGCCCTTGGCTCCTTACGCTCACCAGGGGATGGTGCAGAGAGGTGCTGCAGGGATGACGTTACTGGTCTCCCCAGCTGTTCCCTTCCTTGTCCCCTTTTCCCAGCAGCCATGTTGTTTGCCAAGTAGGAGCAGAGGAAAGAAATACAACGGCACGGGAAGGAGTGGAGAATTGATTTTATGAAGCAGTCGCTTGTGCGCTGTCCGTCCTGTGTTAGCCTGCTTCATTGCAGCTACCTTCCTTGGACGGCAAAGTGACCCTTTCTACACCAGCACTGTCAGCTTGTAGCAGACATCTCATTGGAAGGGGCATTGTCCTCTGGGTATAAATAGCTTCCCTCCTGGCAGGCTGGAGGCTTTGGGAACGTCTCTGCCGGTGTCCTGGGGAATGCTGACCCCGTTCACCTCTAATAGGTGGTAGATGCATTGCGGGGAGCCTGCGCCACAGCTGCTAGAAGAGCATAAATTCGTATTTGCTGACTTGTGCATTTGGTTCTTGGCTATAACTGTACGTCAGTGCCTCTTACATTTAGCAAAGCAGTAGCAAATAAAATTGCTGTTGACTGTTTGGCATCAAAGAGACGAAAGGTACAAGGTGTTTGTGCTTGCAGAGGAACGCTTGCCTCGCTTAAGGAGGTGTGCAGTTCCCGTCTGTTTGAGATGCAGCTATGTCTGTCGAACAATGTCTGAGCAGATTAATTCCCTGGGCAGTGTAGTAGTGCTCTGAACTAAAGGGGGGGAGGAGGTATGCAGGGACAGAAACAGGAGCTTGGGTAGGATTCACTGTAAAAACAGGCCTGGGAATTGCTCTTACCAGTTCTGACATCCTGCCTTCCGTGGCGGTGAAGACGTCTGCTCTCCTCTGGTTTTGACCGCCCTTAATCTTTTTCTTACGACCATACCTTGGCTCTGAAGATAAGGGAGAGAGAAGGTGGCTCTGGGCCCTGGCATTGCCAGGGACCGATGGGGACTTTCCCACAGAAGAGACCTACAGCTGGGGTCAGCTTTGCGTCACCGGGAGAGGTGAAGGCTGCTGAGGTATCGGCCCAAATTTGTGATGGGATTAGGGTGTGCCCAAATGCTTCCTTGTGCTGCAGTATCAGGTTGTCCTTCTGTTCTTTGGGAAAGGTTGGGTGCAGAACTTTGACTTGAACGTGGACGTGTGGGCTTTCCTGGGAAGCAGAAAAAGTTTGGAGGGGCGTGAGCGCAGCAGTGGTGCTCTCCCGTCCTGCGGGATGCCCAGCGAGGCGTGTTGTGGAGGCAAAGGCTTCTCCTGCGCTCCTTGCCCAGGGTCGCGTGTTCTTGAACCGTACTGGTTTGGGTCCTTGGGGGCACCTAGAATCTGGTAGGACTCTTGTCCTGGGGAGTTTCTGGGCTGTGCTTGGGCACCTGTTGGAAGGGCGTGTCGGAGCGACTGGCTGCCTTGCTCTGCTTGGGAGTTACAAGGATGAGGCAGGGAGCAAGAGGCGCAGAGTGCCAGTGTGCTGAGTCAGCATGACTGGCCCGGAGCAGCCGTGCTCTGGACCCAGCCTGCTGCCTGCCAGGCTATTTTTAAAAATGTGGCTTCCGTGTATTCTGACTCCTCCTAGTTTTTTAATTTCCCCCACCCCAAGCCAAAAAACCAGCATTGCCACAAAGTCTCCGTGGGAGTAGGGCTGTGGAAGGGCAGCAGTTTCTGCTCAGGGACAGAATTTGCCGCTTGTGAGTCCAGCTCAGTCGGGTGCTTGTCGAGTGTTGGCCGGGGAGGGCAGTGGGATGTGCAGCAGCATGGGGCGTTGCTGCTGAACCCTGCCACAGGAATGTTGCGGGCTCTGCTGCGTCCTGGGGGGCTAACCTGACCTTCCTTCCCTTCCAGAACCTGATTGACAAGGCTGTCGTGTTATGACGACCCCCAACAAAGGAAACAAGGCCTTGAAGGTAAAGAGGCAGGTGGAGGAAAGGGGTCCGGGTGGCGGGTGCAGGCATCCACTCTAGGTTTCACGAGTGTGTGCCGCCTTCTCTTCCAGGTGAAGCGGGAGCCAGGCGAGAATGGGACCAGCTTGACAGATGAGGAGCTGGTGACCATGTCTGTGCGGGAGCTGAACCAGCATCTACGGGGCCTGTCGAAGGAGGAGATCATCCAGCTGAAGCAGCGTCGGCGCACGCTGAAGAACCGGGGCTACGCGGCCAGCTGCAGAGTCAAGCGTGTTACCCAGAAGGAGGAACTGGAGAAGCAGAAGGCAGAGCTGCAGCAAGAAGTGGAGAAGCTGGCCTCTGAGAATGCCAGCATGAAAATGGAACTCGATGCTCTCCGCTCCAAATACGAGGCTCTCCAGAACTTCGCCAGAACCGTGGCCCGGAGCCCTGTGACCCCTGCGCGGGGTCCTCTCACCTCCAGTATGGGGCCCCTCGTCCCCGGCAAGGTTGCTACTACTAGCGTCATCACAATAGTGAAATCCAAAACGGACGCCCGGTCTTAGTGAAGCGAGTGTTGCCTGAGCTTGTCTGTGCAGGGCAATTAGGCACAAAACCAGCCTGGAATCCCCAAAGCACAAACCCTCCCCACATGGGTCCGGGTTCCTTCTACTTGGCCCAGGACTGGCCTGCTGATCACTCCAGTTTTATTTTGTTGTGTCCAGATTGGTATGAGCAGTGGTGACGCGTCCCTTGTCCTTTGCAGACAGAGCCTCCCACCCAGCGGTCTGTAGCCCTCGGGCGCCCTTGGGACAGACTGCGAGATCTTGGTTTTTTAGCCAAAGAAAGTCTGTGCAGCGTGGCCGACGGCAGGGTGACGGAAGGGCTCGGGGAAGGTCCGGAGGGAGGCTTTCTTCCCGGGGGCCGGGAACCCTAATTTTTGGTCACTTCCAAAGGCTTTACTTCATTACTCTTCCAGGTGGTGCATCTCGGTGCCTGACTGCCAGGCACCTCAACCTGCTGCTTTTGTCTCATTTGGTACCCGTAGTTGCAGTTGGGGTGTTCTGTGTGATAGGTTTTTATTCCTTTCTAGGTGTGCCTCTGTGCCCTAACAGTGGGTTTCCTTCAGACGTCCGTTGCGTTAGCCATGTAAACTAGCCGTGGTGGAAAGGAAGATGCTGTCGTGCCCTGCTGCCTCTGCCCCAGGGATGGGGAAGGAGCCGGGACAGGGCCCCCGCAGGGGCCCAACACCCCAGGGGAGGGAGGGAAGGTACCGTGTTGGCTGCAGGCCGGTTTTGTGCCTAATGTGTTGCACTGAACAAGACCAAAATCACTAGTTGTTCCCGTGTTTTGAGGGTATCAAGTGTCGCTAGTGTGATGGTTTACACAACCAGTTTATGTGGTTAAATAGCCCTTTATTTAAAGAGAGAAACATCATTTTAAGAGTTATTAAATTATCTAAGTTTAAAATTAAAATCAGACAGAAGAGAGAGCGTATTTATAGTCAGCTTTTTTATCTGAGAGGGCGAGAATATTTGACCATATAAATGGGGAAATATTCTCGGAGACTTTGCTAGTTAAAAGTTAATAAATAAATAATTTTAAAGTTTCTCATGAACCTCCCGCAAACTGTTTGTTGCTCTGAGGTTAGTATTTATAAAGAGTTATCAGACTTTATTTATAAAACTTAGAAAAAGACAAAAAAAGAGGCAAGTCCTGTTTGATATCTTTTTGCAATTGTACCAAAAGTGACTTATTCTCGACCTTGCTGGCTTCCGTTGTGTCCCCTTGTGTTGCGCTCTCTGTGCTCTCTGAGCTCTTGCGTGGCGCTGTGGTGTGGTGGTGCCAGTGGCTGCCTTTGCCATGTGCTGTCGTTTCATGCTGCCGTCGTTTTTCCCTAAGCTCGACCGAGAGATTGAGTTGGAATCTCTCCGAATTCTCCAGAAGGATTCTGGCACACAGGCAGAGGTGCTGCTGTTCTTGAAGGCAAAACCGAATGGCTGGTGCAACTAAGTAGTGATGCCTGCCCAGAAAACACTTCTCTGCAGAGGCGTGCTGCAGGAGCACGGGCAGCTCGGGCCTCTTGCTGAGCAGCCGACACCGGGTGGCTCAAGTTGCCTGAATGGGGAAAACGTTGCGCTTTCCTTCCTCCAGCGAAGGCGGTAGAGAAGTAAGACAAGGGAGAATTGTCCAAGTTTAGGAGGAGACCGATGGGATTTAACTCTGGAATTGGACCCTGTGGTCAGAACTTGTGTTGCTCTTGCAGCTCGTCTGACAAGAGGGGCAAGTCTGCCTGCCTTCTGGGCAGCGCGGGACCAGCGCTAGTCCCGAGTGTCTGCGTATTACTGAAAATTGAGCTGTGGCATGGTTACTGTCTTTCCTGGTGCAGCTTCTGTCTGTGGGTGTTGGAAGAGTGCGTAGACTTACAGCTGTGTGACACAGCTGAGAAGCTATTTGTGGCCAGGCTCCATTTCCACAAACACTTTGATCCCCCTCTCCCCTCCCCAGAGATTTGAGCTGATTAATGAGTTGTTTTAGAGAAGCAGGACGTGGGGGTGAAGTCCGTGTGATCTCCTGGCTGCTGAAAGTCTCCTGAGCGGAGGGGACAGACCAGGATGGCACAAGTGAAACCGCAGTCTTGCGGGGAGGCATGGTTCACCATACTGGGTGGTTTTTGGTGATGTGTTTCTCGCGTAGCTGAACTGATACTGCTGTCCTCTGGGCTGAGAAGCAGGTAAACCCGATGAAAGCTGCAACGTGGCAGGAGAGGAGCAGATAGTTGGTGGGGATTTCCTGCTGGAGGGGGAGATCAGCTTTGCTCTGATTGACTGGGAGTTTAGGGAGAAGCTGTTTGGGATGCTTTTCCCAGTGAACTTTCTGAACGAGGAGTGGGTTAGAACATCGCCTCCAGGCTTCCCCCTCCCAGCCCTGGGCTTTCTCTTCTCTGAGCTGAAGTGTCCGACATGCCGCTTCCCAGCCGTTCACCGGATGGGCTACGCACTGAGCAGCGCTCAGCACAGAGCTCTGGGCTCTAACCTTTGTCTTCCAGCTGGTGACGTGGTGCCTGGAAGAGGTGAGATGTTCCAAAACATGGAGACCTCCGGTTGGCCTGGGGTGTCAGTCCCAACCCTGTCCCTCCTGGAGCCAGCCTGAGATTGAACCTGCCTAGAGAGCCATTCTGAATCCGGCTGGAGGCCTGACCTCAGCAGGGTGAGCAGCCAAGGTTTTGTGTATGGGGCTGGTTAGGAACTGAGCTCCAGGGGCTGGAGGCTGTGGTGTGAGGAGGGTCCCATCAACAGAGCAGGCGATGACGGGCAATCCTGCAGCCATGGTGAACTTGCTTCCGTTGTACTCTGCAGCAAGGAATGTCCGGGTCCTTCCCTGCCTGCTGGGTGGCAGCCGTGCTGTTGCCGGTAAGAGGCTGCACTGCTTTGGAGTGAGACCGTGAGTCAGGAGGACAGAGCAGGCGGCAGCACTGACTCCACCAGATGTTAACGCTGTTGTTTCTCCTCCCCTGTGCTGTGCTTGCTAGGTTGTGGCCCCAGCCTGCTTCGAGTGGCCGAGTGTGTTCGATGAGGACACGTTGTGTAGGGGGTGCATGTTTGCAGGTCCTTTGCAGGTGCAAAGCCATGGCTGAAGGGCACCCGTGTGGTAAACAAGCTCTGCAGGTGCTGGGCGGGATGTCAGCGGGGACGCGGTCCCCTCGTGAGTGCTGCTTCCCTATGCTAGCGCGTTGGTTTTGGTTTTGTTCTTGGTGAAGTGTTGGACCCCGAGTGACGTATTTCCGCAGTGTCCAAGGAGTCTCCCGTCCTGCTCCGGGGGACCCGGTCCCCCGCCAGCTGGCTTCCTCTTCCCCGTGCGAGGCGACCCCTGCCCCGAGCCGTCACGCTGACCTCTCTCTCGTATATAGCGTTCTGGAGTGTGACAGTTCTTGTTCCTGAGGTGCTCGTCCGTTTGGTTTCCTGCTGTGAAGGGTGTCGTGTTTTCTTTCTCCTTTTCCCGGTGCCGTTACTGCGGCGGTTGGGGAGGGGGGGCCCTGCCCCGGCCTGCCCGCGAAGCCAACCCGTGGAGCGTGACCCCGCGCCGCCGCCGGGGA